GAAGGTTTTGGAAGAGAGAGAAGAAAAGAAGGAGCAGAGAACTAGAAAGGAGACTAGAGTAGACTCATGTTACAGGAGTAACACCAGGAGAACAAGGGGCGGAGGGTGGTGGGGAGACACAGAGTTGAACCAGCTCACTGTATACCAGACTACAAAAATATTAACCCCAAAATAACTCTTACGGTGTTAAACTCCTCAAAAGAAACTGACAATTGAACTATGCTCTGGTTTATTTTGTATGAGTATCCCCTTTCATTGTATGAGTAAGAATGGTAGGAATATGTCTTTTGTATTGTTCTATAGTCAACATTTTTTTACTGGTTGTTTAATAATAGCAGGAAAAACAATGCTTTAGTGATATTATTTTAGGCATTCTATTGTTGCTTTTGCTTACTCTAGCCCACAAACTCGAAACACCAAATCTGCTTGAGAGACATTTTAATGAAGTTAATCCTTTTTCAATTTCTGGAACAATTGTTATATCAAACATTGTATACCTCAGCAAAACAAGAATTGTCACTTATTCACTTCTTCCTGCCTTCCTGATTTCTAAAAGGATTTGTTTTAGAAACCCACTTGTGGGTTCAATTAGTCTGGAAAATCTTTACCAGCTCTTAACTAGATAGCTGAACTTGTTATGTGACATCCTTCCTTACCAGTCCCAAGACATTTGCCAACAGACTTGTTAATGAATAATGCAAGGCTTTGTGAATTCCCTCCTGTCCTTGCCCAAGTGAAGGGAGGTTTTCCGGGTCAGTTCCTAAAGGTGCTGCTGCCTGGAATCAGTCGCCCATGCTGCCCGTCTCCAAACGTCCCAGGGTACCTACCTGCAGCCTCAGAAGCACCACCACCAATCTCAGGACCCCAACTCAGAGCTACGTGCTTCTCATCCCTCTGTGCACTCCTAGACCAAGCCCTCATTGTCTCTCTACCCCTCCAAGACAAAAGGTCAGCTATCAGGACTGCTGATAACAGAAACAATGATATCTTGGTATCTCAAAGGAGGGAACTTTAGGATCATCTTTAAATGCAAAGACCCTTAGACTTGCAAAAGGACAAGCATAATTACCACACCCATGTATGATATCCCACAAGAGTGCATATAAAAAAAAAACATGCTGGGTTTATAGTTTCTATTTCTTCCTTAGATTTAGAGGTGGGATGTACTCCCAGAAGTTTCTGAGTTCCCCAAAACTGGGTTAGGTGCTTCCATGGCCCTTGGATTATCTTGATTGTAGCAATTACCAGCATGAGTTGTATTTGCCTCTTTTTTTCTCACTATTTCTCTCTAGGCAGAAACCTCTCTGGAGGCAGAGAGTGGGCCCCAGCCACTGTTGCATGGCCAGCCCCTGGCAGAGTGCATGGCATGCAGACGTGGTCAGGGAGCACGTGCAGAATGAAGGAAGGAAGGGATGAATCCCCGGGAACAGGCGCAGATCAGCCAGGGAAACTGAGGTACCGGGGAGTCCTCCAAAATCATCCACTTAATCAAAGCAGACGCAAAAGTTAGGATCCTCTTGTCCCTAAACCACCGTCTTCTGTGTGATATGACTAATACATACCACAAATAATTTGGTAAGAGTACATTCTTACACACACATAATTTATGTACATTATTTCTCCTGGAAGCATGAGAGATGCTTCCCTCCACCTTGGTCCAATTCTATACACCAAGAACATGATGATTTGGATTCCATCTTCACTAATCTCACTCCTAAAATATTGGGTTCCTGGTGCTGTCATTGGAACTATAAAAGATATCAGTCTTCTCATTTAAATTACATTTCCAGTGGAACATGGTCCCTACCCACATGGAAATTAAATCTCACACCATTTGAATCCTAAGTCATTTGGTCACAGGAGTGGTGACTCATAGTCTGGAGATGCCAGTATGGATAGGCAGGCATCAGGACACTTGGGCGAAGTTCACATTTCTGACCCCAAGCAGTAATTTGTTAAGAAGCATCATCACACTTCAAGTAAAGTTCACATTTCTGATCTGGAGAAATAATTTGTTAAGAAGCATCACACAGACCCATCCCAGTGTACCTGCAGCCTCAGAAGCTGGGAGGGGGAAATTTGGAGGCTGCAGAAGGGACAATCCATTCAATCCAAATAACTGTATGACTGAGAACACAAGGCACTCGCCATCATCACACTATGTGCACATTTTGTCTCAGGCCTGCACCCTGATCCTCCTTTCTTGCCTAAGAAAGAAGAGTTGGGGGGAGGAAATGGGAGGGAGGTGGGGAGCACAGGGCGGGGGCGGGGCTGGGGCTGGGATGGGAGAAATAGACAAAAAACTGTACTTGAAAAATAACTGAATAAAACTTAAAAAAAAAAAAAAAAAAGAGTTGGGGGTAGGTGTGGCCAAAACCACTGGCTCAGAAAACCCACCCGCTAGTAAATGAACAGTATAACCACAGAAGACGTGGTCAAATGCAAAATCAAACAGACTTTCATATGCAAAATAAATAAATGCAATTTGTGCCGGGCACATAGTAGGTGACATTTGGATACACAAATGCAGGTCATGTGTGATTCAGATAATCCAAAGGAGAAGGTACTCAAAGAATCATTCACGTTAGCTTTTAAAGTAGGATTTGATCGATTTGTAACACCTTATCATTCAAAATGTATCTTTAAATTATATTTTGCTTGGATCAATATTGAAGTTATTTCAACTTTTTGGTATACCTAACAGCTGATTTTGGAAGAAGTTAAGCAAAAAAGGTTATTGATGACATGAAACATGAGACAATTTTTAAATTTAGCCAGGTATTATTTTTAAATGGATTTTCTTATATATCCATAAGTCATATGCATCTCTTTGTAATTAAGCCAGGAAAAATATAGTGGAATGAAAATATCTGGTAAGTCAATTGGCGATCGGGGGGGCATCTCCATGCTGGATTTCTTAAAACACTGTGATCACTTAACAGATGGAGCAAAGGTAGTGGACAGGAATGTACCTGGGCTTTACAGAGTAAAGGACAGTAAAAAATCCCCACCTCAACAGCAATGACTTTTATTCCCCAGGTTAAAACAGGAATTTCCATCAGTGACTGGCTGATTCCTTAAAGTCCTGGCTGTTTGAAAAGCTAGCTCTTATAATTAGCTTTGCTTTATTAATATTATCAATCAAAACATCTAAGTCCAAACAGAGGTTCATATTTCCAAATAGAGGACTTCCTCTCATTAACTTGCCATCAGGTTTAGCAATCTCTCCTTGGTAGTGTTTCATCTCTGGGTCAATATTTCTACACCCAAAGAAAGTGTTCTGGAGCCTCCTCTTTTGAAAGTAGTCTGTCATTGTCACTGGAGAGTGTTTAAATAACTGACTTCAGTGTAAGGCTAGACAGTGGCCTAAGAGCAACAATCTGAGGTTAACTGCTAGTGTAACCTCACTACTCCTTTCCAGAGCCAATGAAGGCACTGCCAGCAACAAGTCAAACTCTTGATGGTTAGACATGTGTGTGTGTGTTACCAGTTTATTCTGGCATGTAACAGTTAATAATTTATATACAGTGAAGTGGAATCAGTGAATATCATTCTTCCTGAAGAAAAGAAACAAACTAACTGAAAACCTAAGAGCAAGATTAGCATTTGAAACGGGAAAAGAGCCCGTGAGAAATGTGGTAAGTAGCAATATCATCTTTAAACATTTTTTTTTGGGGGGGGGTGATACAAAATGTGTTTAGGAGCCACACCTTCCCGCAGTTTTGTCTACAAGGCTTTGACACTGAGGAATAGCTGAGGTCTTTATTATGTCAGAAGGGAAGGGAAGAGGAAAGAACAGCGGTACATCGAGGACAGTCCGGAGCTGGAAGCCTTTACTCCTGCGAACTGAACTCCCAGCTCCACTCCGGACAAGCACATAGCTGGAGGAAATGAAAACTAGGAAAACAATTTGTACAAAGAACAATGAGATGGAGTTTCATTTTGGTTTCACACTCAAATGTAAATGTGGTTATAATTTTTTAAATATATTAATAAAAGACAACGAATCAAGTGTGGTAACTTTTCAAAGCTGCAATGCAGAAGAGCCCCACTTCTGCTCTCGAGCGTGCTTTAGCAACAGCAAGTCGTGGGAAAGCAAAGACACAGCTGTTTCCAGGCAAACAGCCCAGACTGTTCAGCATCAACCACCAGTCTCCAAAAACGAGAGAAACACGCCCAAAGAGACTCCTGGGCACATGTGTGGGGCTCCGATCAGCGTGGGGAGCGCGTATCTACCCTCCTGCCCCCAACTCAGCCGGGCACCCAGGGCAGGTGAAGGAGGCCAGTCGCAGAGCGCCCCGCGCTACGAGTTCAAATCCCGCTGACTCCCGGGCACCCTCACCTCACACAGTGCGCACCAAGTTCTGGCTCGCTTGCCCCCCCAGCCCTGGGGAGTCCTCTAACTCGCCCTTACCCAGGCGACAACAAAGGAAGCTTCCTAATGTATGTGCGATCACAGCCCACAGGAATTACCAGAGGAGATCTGGAAGAGTGCACCTGGCCGTGGTACAAGCAACCCCGAGGGGCGGGCGGGAGGCTCTGGCCAGGGACAAAGGGGTAGCGCGGAGCGCCCAGAGCGCAGGGCGGGGCGCCGGAGAACCCAGCCGGCCGGGACTCACCTTCGCAGCGGCCCGGCTGCGGTCCTCATGGAGCAGAAGGGCTGCGGGCAGCAGCAGCAGCCAGACGCCGAGCCCGGGCCCCATGGTGGCGCGCCCGGGGCGGCGGCAACCGGCGGCTGGCGGTGGGGGACGGCGGTCGGGCTCCTGGGGGCCGCGGAAGGCGGATCACTCTCGGAGGGCCGGGGCGTGAGCGCGGAGCGCCGTCCGGGACGCGGCGGCTTGCAGCCGAGACCTGAGTGAGGCCAGGCGAGCTCCTCAATTTGTTGGCGCTGCCCCCTCCCCTCGGCGGCGCGCGGGCGGCGTCTCAAAGGGGAGGACCCTACGACGCGGGTAAGAGGCGGCGGGAGCGCGCGTCCCGGGGATTGTGGCTGCCGCGCACCAGGGCGCCAGGGCTCTGCTCCGCAGCCAGCGGGGTCTGCGGCGCGACCCTGCGTCCCCTGGCTCGCTGACTGCGCGGAGGACAGAGGGCGGACGCGCGGGCCCGGAGGCCGGCACCCGAGGAGCCGGAGAGGGCGGGCGCGCTGCTGGTGCGCCGCCGGCGGGCGCTGGTGGGAGCGGAAGCCGGGCCCGAGGTGAGAGCAGCCCAGGGACGCGGAGATCCAGGCGGAGGGCACGGACTTGGGGCGCCCTGTGCAGTCTGTTAGGAATGGGAGGGGAAGATGGGGACCGAGCGGCCGCGCCTAAGCAGCACCAACCAGGGCCTAGGTGGGAAGGCGCCCCTCTCTTCCATCTCGTAGTGCAAAGAGGTGGGGGTGCGCACCCCGCTCTCCCACGTCTCACCAGGAGAAGCGGCGGCGTCTAAGACGCTTCCCTCCTCCGCCCCTGCTTAGCCCGCTTTCTCTCTCGCCTTCCACGCTAGGAGGGACCGACCTGAGCCCAGACTGGCTGAATTGGGATCATGGGCAGAGACCAGTGCACGCCGTTGGGCCCTGCCCTGCAGCGGTAAGCGACTTTCTGCTTTGTCCCTGTGGCTCCCGCAAACGGGGCCCTTCCGTGTAACTTGAAGGAATTGCCAAGCTAGGGCCGCACGCTCATGGCGGTTTTCCTCCCTCTCCCATCCAGGTGGCTGCTGCCGGTGGCCCTGACAGTGGGACTCCTGGCCCACAACAGCCTGGCGGTAAGTCCTGGCTCCCGTTCACGGGCTTCTATTCTATTCGCGCGCCTGAGTGGTTGGGACTCGGCGTGCCCTGGCCAGAATGCAGCTCGTGCCTGCTCACCTCGGCGTGTCTGTGTGTGCTAGCGTGCCCTCCTACAGCTCCTGCCCAGCCCAGGTTCTGAGAAAACTCGCCGGCCCCAAGGAATTGCTCGGGTTTGCCTTCCCTTAGGTTCCCCACCGTCGACCTGTGCGTTGCAGGCATCAGGGAGCCAATGATTTAAAACGTAGCCTGCGGCATCCTTTTCCTAAGTTTAGGCAAGGCTCCAGCCTTAGACGCCAGGGAAGGCTGTCGTACAAGGCAACAAGGCGCCAAAGTTCAGGGGAGAAACGTTTATGTGGAACTCGGAAGCTGGTGCTAGGTACTGTACTGTCCTAGGCAGAGTTTTCTTGTGCTTTTAAATGAAAGGCTTGGGGGGGGGGTAGAGGAGGGGCGTAGAGGACTCTCAGCGACGTAGTTTCTTCGTAACCTTAAGGGAGGGAAGAAACAATGGCTGAACCCTTGGTTTTATGGCAACACTTGGTTTGGCCCTGAAAGAGCCGCAGTGGGGGCTGCTAAAGCTCCCACCTGTGCCCGGTTGCTGTGTGCCCCTCACCCCAGGAGCCCTGCCATCCCAGGTAGCTCTGTCAATATTCTCAGTGCACTGGTGATTGCACTATGAGATTTTAACATCGTGCTTAAATAATAGGAGCCACTTTTACTGAGGTTTATGTAGTGTGGCTAAACTGCCACAGGTTTGGTGGGTCTCTTCAGTTGAGGACACAAATGTTTAAACTGGGGCTCAAAATTGAAGGGACTTCCTAGCCCTCCTGGACCCGGTCCTCTCTGTACTGTGTTGGAATTTGATTTCTGTCACACCTGATTTCCCAGGGGACTCCTGTTGGGAATTCCCTTTCTTCTCAAGGGCCCCACCCTTGAGAGAGGTAGGTCACCTGCACACACAGGGTCAATGGGAAGCTGTATTTGCGCTTTCATTTAATTTCTGTTATTTTCACATTGTTCTATCATCATGTAAAACAAAGATTTTTAAAGGCTGTGAGCAACGAAGAACTACCCTAGCTTGGAAAAGAACCTTTAGCCTTATTTTTTCTGCTGCCTTGTTCAGGGATTGGGAAGTTAAAGACTTTGACCAAAATATTCCAGGTCAAAGTTTTCTTAAAATTCAGGTCTGTTTCTGCCTTTGTACATGTTCTGATGTAAGAAGATCAGAACCTGGATATTTGACTCTTACTTCCTAAGGACGGTAAGAGTCCCGGATATCTTACCTAGAATGATTCTAAAATTGCTGGAAAGGGTTTCATGTCAGAATACCTGAGTCCTAAACGCAGCTCTACCCAGTCTCATAAATCCTGATTTCTACACTTTGAACAGGAAGAGAATATTCCCCAGCTTCTTACAAAGGCCATTTCTGTGTCACATGTGATACACCCGCCTGCCTTCCTCCCATATCTGTCAGATGCTGCAAACTCACCAGCATCCCTTTGCTCTCTAATCCTTGGATGGGACCTAAGGCATTTATTGTCTAGCTTCTCAGAGTACAGTCCTTGGACGCCTACACTCACCTGGAAAGTCTAGTAAAAAAATTCAGACTTCCAGTCTGCAGACCCTCTCATCAGACTTCCTGGGGCGGAGCCTCGGAGTCCACATTGGCACTTGATGCCAGACTTTTGGAACCACTGAGCCAAAAAATACTGTATTGAGAGATAGTGGGAATAACTTGTCAATTTATTTAATGTCCCCAGGCTTTAGATTCTAAATCAACAAATAAAAACAGATCAATACTACAGAGTTATTTTATTAGAGACATATTAATAGTATTATTCAACAGACAGGCAATTTGTGATGCTGAACAATGGGTCTTTTACTTATTAACTTCTTACCACTAGGCAGAAGTAATAGCCTTTAATGGCTATTAATCATAAAATAATTTCTTGGTCTTTAACTGTATTCATTAAAATAGTTCTCTTCATTGTGACAGGTTCAGCCCCTCCCCAATTTGTGTGCTGTGCTCAAGAATCCTGTCTCATTGTCTATTTGCACCAAGGACTCTTTCCAGGGATAGGTCAGTTCAGTAAAAGGGGCTGTTCATTGTTGCTTGAAAAGATTATAGCAGAAACAGCTACAAATAGTTAACAAAGAGAATAATTATTGAATGAGTACTTCCTGTGTGCCAGTTTGTGTTTCTTAATTACTCTGAGCCTCACTGAAAAACATCTATGATGTAGGTAATTATTACCCACCCACCCACCTTCCATTTTACAGATGGGAATACAGAGGCACAAAGAGTTTAAATGACATGCCCAAGGTCTCTCTTTATAAGTGGCACACATGGTATTTGAACCCAGACACTGGCTCGCTGCACCAACTTTTCCGGGGTCAGACTATATGTCGATAGTACGGGTGCTCCTGAGATTCAGTATCTGAGTCTACTACTTGTGCTTTCTGCTTGCCCTTAACTGTGACTAACAAAGTGTTATGTTGAGAGCCTGGTTCTCCCCCACTCATCTGATGCTTTGCTGTGAAGGACAGGAGCCCAGAGCAAGGGCAGAGCAATATGATCAGGTGTCCAAAGGAGAAAAGGAAGCAGAAATCCCACTGGACATCCTGGGTGCAGGACCCAAAGTAAAACACGTGTGCTTTGCCTGTGCAACTGTGGGCAGCACTCCCTGTTGTTGTTCAGGTTGCCATCGTGAATGCAGTGTCAAGGTGCCAAGTGCATTTGCAGAGGGCCCTGCCTGAAAGGCAGTGCAGCATCATGGCTACCACCCCACACTCTGAAGGCAGACTCCCTGGGGGCCATTCCCAACTCCGAAGCTGATGAGCTGCTGCCTACCCCTGGCACTCATCAAACCCCTAAGTCCTGCAGTGGGGACGTTACCAATGGTATCGACCTCTAGGGTTAGGGGCCATCAGATGAGTGGACACGTGTGAAGTGCCCTGGAATATGGCACAGAACAGGTGCTCAAGCTGTCTGCTGGGCCTACATCAGGGAAGGTTCTGGCTGCAGCATGTTCCTGTCCTTCGAGGCGACTTAAAAGCAAAAGCACTCACTGCAGCCTATGCTGAGCATTGTTAGTTATCTTAAGAGATGGGGCAGCAGCTTGAAGATCTAAGAAACCAGTCCTGTGTGATTCTGGGAGGAAGAGAATTCCAGAGAACAAAGACCTTCTTTCCCTTAGATTAACTAGGCAGAGGGGCTGGGCTGACCTCATGACCTCAGCTAGGGATACAGGCCACAGGCTTCAGATTCTCATAGGTATCAGGGTGTGTGTAACCCTGTGTGCACCCCAGAAAATGCTGGGCTCCAGACTGCCTTCAGCGCTAGCTTCAGTTCCCAGGGTGCCTTCTAGGAATCCATGCCCTGAAAAATACACTCGAAAAATGATGCTCCTGTACATGGCCATACCTTTCCCTTCCCCAACCAAAAAAAAAAAGAGAGAGAGAAAGAAAGAAAAAGCAGCAGCAGTAGTAATATGTTCTAAAGGTTTCCTCTTCTCCTTTCAATCTCTTTATTTAAATTATGAAAAAATGTGTCATGCTAAGATGCTCTCGATGCTGTATTTAAGAATCACAGAACAGCTCTCTCCCAGAATTCCCCAGAGCTTTAGTCCTATTGTTCAAAATCTGGACCCCCTAAGAAGAGAAGGAAAATATCACAGGGCTCCTTCTTAATGGCAAAACAAGTGTATCTCAGAGACAATTAAAGCAGTTCTCCCTGGTGGCTTGTACGACTCAGCTGCGGTACAGAACACCAGGGACTCATCGGAGTACCCCAGAGCTGGACGAGGACTGGCAGGGAGGAGGGCAGGACGCAGCTCTAGCACCATCAGTGGGTGTATTTGGAACCAGAGAGAGAGAAAAATTGACATTCAAGTAAAAATTCTAGAATAGAAAATAAAACTTTGCTAAAATAATAAAAATCAAAGGCTTGTCTAACTATCTTCCTGGAGAGGGGGTAAAAAAAAATGGGTGACACACTCCAATTAAATCATAGAGAAAATCTGAGGGAAAATGAAAGTGTGGTAAACGTGCAGCTTTTCAACATTATGTCCGGTAGTGATGATGATACATAAAAGATGGTCTTGAAATGCCTTGTTCTTTTAATCTGAAAAACAGTATTTATCTTTGAGTAAAGGGCTTCAGAGAAAGCTCTGAAATTGGCCCCTCACTGTATTGCTGGCATCAGTTGGTAGGTGAAATTTGGAAGCCCAGGCTTGGCTGAGTCAGCTTGTGAACCAGGCAGTGTGTGCCTAGCTGGTAGCTGCTGGGCCAAGGACCACACAGTATTCTTGGGGGATCAACAAAGCCTCGTGGCCGCCTAGCTACTAACTGACTGTTTGACCCAGGACAAGTCACTTTGGTTCTGGGGCATGAGGGAAGGCTGAAGAAGAGCTGCTGTATGGTGTCTGTGCTAGGGTGCTCCAGGTGAGCTGGAGAGTCAGAACTGAGAACACAAGGCATCCACACCTGCTGCAGGCGTCTCAGCTGCAGCCGCAGAGAGAAGTGGGCTCTCGTCCTCCCGGCTGTGTCATTGGGAATAGGAATGCTTTTCCAGGAAAGCATTTGGGCTGCTCTAGGATATGACTTAAAAGTAAAGATGCTGTATCAGGCTTTTTATCTTTAGGGTGTGAGAAGCTTCCAGGTTTCAATGAATGGAACCTTGATGAGATGAGAGGATGAGCAGGTCATTTGGTGGCTACCTATCGCCACTCCTCTCCTATCTCTCCCTCACAGAATGAGACTCTCCTGGGACAGATGAAAACTTGAATGACCTTGATTTTATGGCCTTCCCTGTGGTGTGATTTTTTTCTTTTGATTACTCATGAAAGGAAAGGGGATATCTAATCTCTCAGGGAGATTCATGGCAGGTAGTCCAAGCCCGGCCTTATGGTCAGGAAGCGAATTTCAAAGGAAGTACGAGTCTCTGGCGGCTCCCCCTGTAAGTTTTGCCTGGTAGACATCA